GTCTTGACACACCCGAATACAATCTTATCACGAAATAAAAGTTTCTCTCAGCAGTTAGAAAGCAAGAGAAACAACGCACAAATCACGATCACAATCGCTGCTGATCGCGCGCTACCACGTCTGCCGCGCGCCGCCGCTTCAGAATTTTCTAAGGTCTCGCCAAATTCGATTAATGCGGCACGATCTTTCGTGGTAGTTGAAGCAAAGTTGGCGTCGAGTGCCAGATGGTAAATATACGATACGATGCGATGCGCGGCGAAAATTCTCGTTGATTCAGAATCAGATCGATATGGGTTGGCTCATTGATAGACGAGAATCAAATGGATAACAACGTGCTTCCAGCGTTGTCCGTTTAAAACGCATTGTCGCAGCGCACCTCGCACATTTTCGAGGGCGACGCCGTTACAGTGCTTTCGTCGTCGTTGGCTAAGATTGCAGCGCTTCGTTATATTTCGAGCATGTGCTATATTTAGAGCAGTCCCCGTAGCCGCACATACCTTGTATCTTTTCAATACGTGTGTACGGCCACAGCAATAGGAACCGATGACGAACTTCTTATTTTATTGCCCGTATTTCCATAATGCATCCGCTTAATAACCACGCAATTCAGAAATGGAAACTACGATCGATCATTTCGCGTGGTATATAGCTCTGTCCGCGACACAGTAAAAAGGGGGAAACTAGCTATATGCGAAACGTTGTTTGCGAAGATACGAAAATCTTAATGTCAAGGATAAGCTCCAAGGAGAAATATGTATGTTGTTTAGAAGTGTTTACATATGTAAGATACGACTATTGTAAAAACATCCAATTCTTCATTGCGGTAAGGGCAAATTGAAAAATCGGAAATATCAACTATACAAATGTACTTGTGAAAATAAAAATGATGGAATTGAGATTTTTATAACTAATAATATTGAGCACCGTCCCCACCACTAACTAGTATCCCCCACTTAAAAAATAGTGAAATGGATGCGTTTAAATAAACACATTTGGCGCCGCGTATTTTAGACTATTAACTCTTTACTAGTATAGTGTGTCTTTTTTTTTTTTAACGAAGAAATATTATTTTTAATTTTCTTGCCAAAGTGATTTACTTCACTACCAAGTGAAATACCTTCGTGTGATGTTTTTATAAAACAAAACCAGTACAAAATCAAGCAACTTTAGCAATGATTAGAACAACTGTATTTTCAGCTGAAAATATTTTGGAATGTTAAAAATTATACACACATTCAACATATAGAATCTTTCTTCAAAACAACACTATTATTAAAGGAGTAATATTTTTGTAATATTATCAATGATAAAAGGCATAAAGGAAGAAATTTATATAGTACTGTTTTTAAGTTCAAATATGTAACAACTGCATACTTACATTTCTTATTACAATATACTTTATTTGTATTATGATATTAGTATTGCTCAATTAAGTAATATTAATACTAATCGTTTTAGTAGCTCTAATTCCGTAAAATAATAAACGTATTTCCTATTTATTTTTAACGTAACATGATTTTGATATATACAACATAAAATAATATTTAATGAGATATATGTACATTAAGTACGTATCATTCTATTTGCATTGATCAATTTTTTATAATATTACAAACCATTTTTTATAATATTACAAACCAACTCTCTTAATGAAAGTATAA